GCAGTGCTACTACACAGTCGATTTGGGAGCAGCTTGCGGCTACGAGTACTGGGCTAAATAGAGTTGAACCTAGTCTAAGTGCCGAAAGACCTGAAAGAGCAGGGTCGCAGTGGACGCAGCCGAGGGATTCGGCATCGAGAGATGAGGCAGGGGATAGTGATACAGAAGGAGAACAGAGTACTGTACTATCACAGATACCACGGTATATTGCTGAGGAATCAGGACTTCCTGCTAGGATCACGTTCGGTTCGGTTACTCAGAGAGATACTATCTCGAGAAATCGAGAGAGGGCAATGTCGGCGGCATATCTCGACTCCCTGTCCTCATCCCGCAGCGAAGCTGCAACCCCAAATCCCCGCACTACCTCCCGGAATAGCGAAATGCGTCGCCCTTCCAATACAGAATCTGATATCAGGCCCCACAACCCATTTTCCCGCTCATCCTACGCAACCATTCTCAACCGGCGGCGTCCTGATATTAGAAGTACAACAACGCCTATACCCCCCATCATCACCCGCGCAACCCCAGCTCCTCCTACTCCCCAAAATCCTGGGGCAGATACGAGAACATCGGCTTCATCACCGGAGCCAAGATCTATTCGCGACAATACTGAACGTATTCAACAAAACGCCCAGTCACTAGAGCGTAGTATCAACCAGCTGCAGCAAAGATTATTGATGGATCAAATTGATGAGGGGCGAAGGGATAGAGCACCACAAGAGAGGGTAGAGATACGGGATTCTTCACATCGGCGGCCGGAGAGTCTGGTAAGAGTTAGAGATCCTCGGCCAGAGCGTACACCAGTATCGATGAATCGCCCAGGGTCACAAGTTAGAGTCGGTGGCGGGGTCAGGTTAAGTCAACATACAGCCGAGGGGGCTGTGGCTAGCACGACTGAACAGGGAGTGGATGAAGGTCGCAACCGGGGGCAGATGCAGGATATAGCGAGTAATAGGTTACGGGAATATTTGGCAGGGTATGAGAGAAGGGATGGAGAACCGGCGGGGAGGGAATTCATGGCGGTGGAGGGGTTTGGAGAGTTGATTGCGGAAAGCCGGGAGCGGGAGCGGGAGAGGAGAATCTGGGGGGACCTTATTATGACGGAAGGAGGACGAGCAGAGCGCGCAGAGCGAGCTGGGAGGTTGGCCGAAAGGGTTGAAAGGGCACAAGAAAGACCAGCGTCTGCCCGCCATCATATGCGACCCACATCGCCATCGGTAATCGTCCGCCAACCAATCCGAGCTCAGCGCGCCCTAAGAACCCCAGGAACTCCTTGGCGTGGCCGTAGAACGAGCTCTACCAGTGGAGTTGCTGGATCAGAGAGATTTTATGATGGTCCGTTTAGATCTCATGGGATGGAAGAAACGCTTTCTCCCCCCACAGCTCCAAGTTCTGCCGAAGCAGAGCGAGCGCAAAGGTCTCCACCGCTTTCTCCAAGAGAAAGGATTGCGCATTCTACGATTCGTCATGAAGCAGAGCGCGAGTTGAGGCCCGCACAGCTTTCTCCAAGGCAGAATACCCGTGATGCACCCCGTGTATCAAATTCTTTGTATGACAGCTGGAGAGGAACAGAAGATGCGTAAGTCCCCCTCTTTTTCTACCTTTCTGAAAACAAACACATTCGAAAAGAACACTCAAACAGGAGTGGCACACCGAATGATGTGGACAAGATATCTTCCACCGAGTGCTCTCTAATGATTCAACAGGCTCGAGGGAGTGGAACGCATGATGGCACCAAGCCAGCTCTCACCCCACCACGCATGGGGCCCCTTTACCTCGCCACCCGTCGCTCCAATTAATAACCCTGCCACCGCTTCAAACCCAGCGCGGCCAACCGGGGATTTCATCAATTCCACCTCTGCAACTGCATATATGTCCATCCTCTCCAACCTTATTGGGCGCAGAGAGCAGCACAATGGTGCTCACGACTCCATGGATGCAGACTTGAATAGCCAAGCCGAGCAATTGTATGCCGCCATAACACTATTAGGAAGCGATAATAGTTCGATGGATCTTCAGGAACGGCGAGAGAGGTTGGAAGAATACCAAGCGCAAATGAGAAACAGGGCTGCTGGATTGAGTGAAGCCGGATCATCAACTTTGCCAATACCCCAGCGAGGCACGCTCCCAAGACCAGAAGAGAGAGATAGACTACAGCGAGAAAGGTCGTCCCGGGAATCAGCCCGTCTTTCCGAACCAGAGATGCAATCAGCTTTCAGATCGATTATACTTGGCGAAGATGAATTTATCGAGCGGATGACTGAAGGTCGCACTCCTATCTCCGAGTTAAATCTTGGGGATACTCCGGACGCAATTGCAAGGCTGAGGAGGCTGAGGCTTGGACGTAGCGAGTCACCCATCCCCTCTAGTTCCTCTGCAGGACCTACCTCATCCGCCAGCACAGCCACTGCCGGGGCAAATATGCATTCAGCCCGCATCCGTACCACCCTTTTAGATGAGCGTGATGCCGATATTAGTGGCTTGAGCTTAACATACAACCCATGGCTTCGACCACTCGTTCAACCGCCTCCAGGGCTCGATCAGCAGAAGGGACGCCCCGAACCGCTGGAGGATGAAGATTTAAAGGTGGAGTGTGAGTGTAAGGTTTGTTTCGGGCAATTAGCAGATACCGTGTTGCTGCCGTGCAAACATTTGGTGTTGTGCAGGTGGTGTGCGGATGCTTTGGGGGCGAAGGAGAGGGAACTTGGAGCTCCTCGACGTGGGGGAAGGGTTGTGCTTTGTCCGGTTTGTAGGGTTGAGGTTGATAACAGGGTATGTTTAATGATATCGGGGGTTGGAAAAAAAACAGGGTTATTATGGATAGAAGGCTGATTGGTGATGTGCATATAGATTACCGTTTTCAGATCGTAAAGAGCTGCGGCCTTGGACATCAACTCACCCTCCGGAAGTTACCAGTACAGTATTTCTAATTTACTGGTACAGTGTATTAAGAGTTATTTTTTTTTCCCCTATCTCTAGCTCTTATTTCTCCTTTTTGTTTCCCCCCCCTTTTGGATGGTATAAGTATAAGTATAAGTATGCGGTAATGATTTTCATTTGGCGTTAGATGAATGCTTTATTGATTATGTATAGAGTCAACGATGTTATGATGCCCATGAAAATGACTTGATGCTCAAGTTTATATTCATGATTACGTTTATGATTTTCTGCTTTTTTTTGGTTTTGGTTTTGTGGTTTCATGTTTTATGTTTGATGCTTCATGTTTATAGACTACTTTTTTTTTTTTTTTTTTTTTTTTTTGTGTGTATGGATAAAGACCTATATCTGGGATAAAGTTGTATCTCGGATAAATATAAATATAAATTAAATAGGATATTGTTATTATTATTATTATTATTATTATTTTATCTTTTTATCATATTATTATTATCATTATTTATTATTTATTAGTTTAAGATTTTTTTTTTTTTTTTTTTTTAAAATTTGATACCCTGTGATAATTGGGGGTATGTTAGGTATATGAAATCATCCCCATCCCCATCCCCATCCCCATCCCAATGAACCCCATAATATCATTAACTCTAAACATAATCAAGAAAACACCCTATCGAACACCGAATGTGAATTAAACCTATAGGAAGGTATGGCGGATTTGGTTGGGGTTGGGTTGTGGTTGGGTTGTGGTTGGGTTGGGTTGGGTTGGGTTGGGTTGCGGTTGGGTTGATTTATACTTGTGAGGAAGAAAAAAAGAAAAGAAAAGAAAAATAGGGGAAACATGGGAAACGGGGGGAAATGCCGATGCCCATGTTCCCTATCATGTCCATGCTCCGTCTATGCTCCATAATGCTCCGTCTATGCTCCATAATTCATCACCCATGATCCCTATGTTACGTCTACACTGATACACTGTGACGTTTAGATACGTACGGGTTAGATACGGGTTAGATGCGATCTGATCTATTCTACATATATATACATACCTCCTACACACCAGTACAATTCTGTCACAGTACTGCAGTACTGCACTATTGTTTTATTGCGGTATTGTTACTGTTACATACATCCTACCACCCCCCCCCCCCCCGGCATTGTTTTACTCGGCTAGACTAGACTAGATAGACTAGACTCTGGAGTTATTGTATATGTTAGAAAGGACAGGGAGAGACAGACGGTTCTATTGTAGATAATAATGACGATACACAGAGAGGAAGCATTATATATAGTAGAAAAGTCGGCTAGTCTCATCCTCCTGATCAAACCCTGTTTGGTGTCCCACTTGGTCCCCTTCAAGGTTCGGCTTGAGCAAACTCGAGGACCTTGTTACGACAAGCTGGATTGCCTCTTCACGGCAATCTTCCAACAGTATATTAATAATTACATCACAAGAAATCCATCAATGTACCTCGTGCTTATCCTCAGTCATTCAGTCATTCAGTCATTCAGAATGTTTGGACTTTGGACTGTTTGGATTGTTGCTATCATAAGTTCTCCAGATCTCCAGTCCAGTTCCAGTTCATCACAAACCAGGAACCACGAAGCACGAAGCATCATCCAAGTAGGTGTATAATCTCGATAACCCTATGTACAATCAAATCAAATCAAATCAAATCAAGTACGAAGTTTTCAGGTCTGGTAAAGTAGTGCATTGGTAAAGAATGTTCTAAATCACTACCACCCCCCACCCCTATAACCAGACGAGATGATGATAGGTCTTAAGGCAATCTTATTCTATGGCTCACTATACTTGTGATTTATTACCCACCCTTCGTATTCAGTATGCTCAAGAAATGTAAAGCCTGGGCCCTGGGTATGATCAGAGTATGTACATAGACCATGTAATCCAAGTTTCGACACCACGGCTCTTCTTCTGTGCTTGCTGGGCTCGCTGGGCATGCTGGGTCTATCATCTATGTACGTACCATGTCATTACCCACCACCAGCACCACCGCCATCAGCACCATCTCCTCTTACTACCGCCAAACTCCAATCCCCCATCCCATCCCTCAAAATCATCACTCCCGCCCAAAAAAAAAGAACAGTTCCGATACCGGGAATTGAACCCGGGTCTAGTCGGTGCCTTTTACTCCCGGGATTCCAGGAATTGAAAGCGACCAATGCTAACCACTACACCATATCGGATTTGATTGGGGGTTGTGTTATAAAACTGTATTTGATGGTATGTGGCTAGGGATGGGTAACGGATGAGGGGGGGTTTTTTTTGTTACGGAATTGGGATTGTGTTTTGCGGTGATTTGATATGCTGGGTGGGTGGAGATAGTTTGGAGGGTTTGGAGGGGCTGGAAGGGTTGGAAGGGTTGGAAGGGTTGGGTATTTGCTGGATCTGGGAGAAGAGGGAGTAGGGGGTTGAGTTTTGCTGGGGTTTTGCTGGGGTTTTGCTGGGGTTTTGCTGGGGTTTTGCTGGGGTTTATGGGAGGGGGGGTTTGAATGTGGATGCATTGTGGCTGTGGATGATTTGGATACGTTGATGGGATGATATACAGTTGGGTTGAAGTATCTTATTCTACTTGCTATAGAGCTCGAGAGTGGTAGGATATTATTATCTGTCTTGAGAAATATGGGAAGGGAAGCCTGGGCTGGGTATTTATGGAATGAATGCGTTCTCGGATGGCTAGCTGCCTGGCTGTCCTGAGATACCCTGTCTAGACTCTAGACCGCCGTGCGGCACCTTTGCAACGATAACGAGGGAACTGATTAGATGATACGATGAGTGGGCTGAAATGTAGTGGTTTGACTCTATTGCCGCGGGGTTGATAATGAATATAGTTAGAATACCGATAGATAATGGATTATGGATTATGGATTATATATATATAGACTACATTGGAAATCCCGAAGATAGAACCTTCTCACTGATGTGATGATATCTATAACTTCATCATTCATCGATTCCATCCAGTATATGGGTGTCATTTCATGTTCTTGAGAATCAGGATGAGAGGTTGATTCGTAGAGGGGTGTGCTAGAGCTAGATATTGAAACTGATGGATACTAGAAAGTTTTTGGGCAAGATGTTGTTAAGGTATCACTTTCTTTTGGCCTTTTTTCATGAAGGGGTTTTTATTTTTTCTTTGTTCTTTTGTTCTTTGTGCTTACGTTTGTTAGTCTAATCTAAAGGGTTCAGAGGATCAGGGGGCATCAAATTTCAATAGGAATTCGGATCTTTTTCTTTGGTCCTGAATTGGTCTCTTGGGTCTCAGTCGGTGTGTCATGAGATAAATGAATTAATTAATGAGTAGATAAATTTTGAAGGAAATTCGGTTACATATCGATGTCTGTATGAAGATGTATTGATTATTATTCGTCCCTCCACTCCTGTTATCTTCCCTTCCACTGGATGCAAAAACCCACCCACCACACTACCCTCAAGCAATTCCTGCTGCTTAATCATCATCGGCTGAAAAAACCTATGTTTCTCCCCAAGGATACCGAGGTTCATCAGTTGCATTTTCGAAATCCGCGCAAACCAATCCTTGTTTCCAAGATTCTTCTTCACATCTCATCAACGCCAAGTTATTCTGCAGTAATATATTAATGTGTTGTAGAAAGAATTTTCCTTTTTGGATGGTTTCTGGTGATGTGTTGTCTTCTGGATAGTGAGGATTGTCTTCGAATGTGGGTTGTGAGGATGGGGGTGAGGGTGTGATGCTGGGAAGTGATATGCTGGGAGTTCCTAGGCTGGCGGCTGATAAGTCGGGTGTTGATAGGTCTGGAGTTGATAAGTCGGGCGGTGATAAACTGGGGGTTGATATGCTGGGGATTGTTATATGGAGGGATGATAGGCTGGATGTATCTGAACCTTCGTTCCCTGTTTGTTTATTACTAGTTTCTGCATCTTTGTGTGATTGGTCAACGGTTCCTGCGTTTTTGGTTTCTGTATCCTTGGCTTTTGCGTAATTGTTTTCTTCCTCGTCTTCAATTTCAAAATCAGAACTCTCTTGGTACTGAAATTGGCCTTCCTCGTTTATTTCGCCAGCTGTGAATAATGACAAGACATGGACTCTCATAAGTAAGTAAGACTCATGTTCTGCGTACCTAGTACCTTCCAGCACCTCCGGTTCATAATCCTTTAGCATTTCGTCATCACAAACGCTATCAATTGTTGGTTTCGAATCATCGTTTTCCGATCCAACAATAGCAAAGAAGGCTCTTTGAACCCATTTTCGAATCTTTTCCAATCTTGCAACTTCTTTCCAGATACTTAGTTGAATTTTTGTATCCAGCTTGTCAATCTCCTTCTTGTGTTTAAGATATTGTCCAACTGTATAAATCCATGCATCTTTATAAAGTTCTTTATATTGAAAATCTATTGCAAGATGTAAAAATCGTATACAGTTGTTTTCAACAAATTTGTTGAGCAAGGAAGATTTAGTACAACATTTAATCCAATGTTGGATAACGGCGTTGATTCCCTTGAATACTGGTTCTGTACATTCAAATTCTTTTGCTGTTTTGAATAATTCTTCAAATCTTTGAAGATATTCCTCGAGATGTTTTCTTGAGATTTCATACTCCGGGACTGTAGAATCGTCATAGCAACATTCAAAAATTGTTTTGTAAATCGCACGGATTTGTAAATGATTTTTGAAAGCCTCAGGATTCAGCTTTTTCGGTTTCTGAAGTATTCAAAACACCCTTTTCATCAGTTTCTGTTTCATAGTTCCAAGTTATGAAATCACACAAACACACAACAAACACACCAAATAAATCATGATCCATCACCTACATCTTTTGGACCATATGGTACCAGTTTATGCTCAATATCATAACCCAGCCCCTTCTCCTTTCCCTCCTGTAACTTCAAAGTATCATCAGAAGCTACCCTTTTACACTCCAGCGTATATTTGTATTTAATCTGTCCCGAATGACTCTTTTTAATATCCCAAACCTTCTTCGACATACCCGTTTTGAACCATCCTAACTTCTCCCGAAGAACTACTCCATGGAGTTGATATTGGTCGCCGAAGATCTGGATAGAGACATCGGGGCGTATACGACCGTGTTGGAAAACTCGGGTATTGGTTGCGGAACGCGCGGTGCGTTTACGTTTCGGGGGTGAGGGGGGAGGTGGTAGCGGTGCTGGGGCTTGTCGTTTACGGAGTACTGGCGGCATGATGAGTGAGGAGGTATGCGTTGAAGTGATGAGAGAAGCTGGAAGGCGGTTGAGAATACGATGATGATGATTGCTGTTGATTGTTGATGATTGTTGGGGAGGAAAGACTAGATGGTGTTTTGTTGCGATGGGTTTAAATACTATGGTATATTGTTGATCAAACAAACAACGCCCCAATGTGGTGCGGACGGTGATGGGTGATGGGTAGTGATTGGTGGGGTTCAAGTTGGACCCTGAGCAACAAAGACGACTGTTGAGTGTATTGCATACATCATAACCTATAGGTTTTTCAGGCTTAGTTCCAGACCTTGTAGTATGTGTGTAGGCCAGAAACCACACCATTTGTGTGAACGTCGTGATAAAATGTACTATTCCACGATCTTCAAATGGGCCTTTATTGGTCTATATCCGCTTGGTGCAGTGTACGCTGATTGAACTTCCTCTGGGCGGGCCTTGTCTTAGAAAGCTATTTGATGGTGAGAGCAAATGGAAAATATGCCTGTTATGGTCAGGTTTAGGAAAGTGCATATTTGCGCAACCCAACCGTTTGATTTTATGCATTATTGACAAGACTAACCAGTATAGTTATATCGTTAGTCTAGAGAAATTATAATACATGAAAAATATTATTATAAGATCTGAGCACGGTGTGACGCGGGTTCGTTGCAGTGGGTGATTTATTTATACATAGGCATTCCGATTTCCAAGCAAAGTTTATGCACAAGGTGGTTTGTGTTAGTTGTGTAAGAACCTCTGGTTTGGTTTGACTTATTTAAGACTTTCATACTTTCACTGTCCTCTCCTGTATAATTCTCTCTCAATCACAAACACCACTCGGTGCCCGCGACATCAACCTCGTTATTTATCTCATGCCACCGCGCATTCTGAATTATCAGTTAACCAAACTCTCATCGAAGTTACAAATCAACCTTGATACGTATTCGAATTGACGACAAGTTGCAATGCGTAAGTGTTTCCTTAGACCTAAACATTCCCACTGGCGATGCGACTGTTACTGTATTACTGACTATGACCGTGACTATAGAATAGCATCTTCACAACACTCTTACATGAACCGTTTTACATATAACATGGTACTCCCAGATAGGAAGAAAGCTTCGGCAACATTATCGTCACAGTTTCAAACCACGCTGGTACTATGCCACGTCTTTTATACTGAGTTTGCATGGTAATTTTTGTTCACAAACACCCTTTACACTCTGTAATTCTCTTTTTTGCTAAGCTACCCTAAAAGGCTGTTTCGACGGATGTGTTTCACCAATACATCTACATCTACAAACCGCAGCGAAGTTACAGTTTCCAGCAAAGCTCGAATTGTGTCAATTCTTTCCTTGTGTTTTGTTATCTTAAAAAATAGTTGTAACTACACGACTTCTATTATCTTCAGGTTAGTATTGTCTCAGGATAACAAGGTAAGTTATGTGCTAACAGAACCGGGGCAGAATAACAATCCTTTTTCTTTTTCCATCGCTCGTCTTTAGAACGTTCGAAGAAGGTCGAAGATAAAGCTACATTCTAACTATTACTCTATGTCTTTCATCCATTAGCATCTACTGAATATTTGAATTCCTTTATCTAATACCCTGGTCACGTTAGGCGTGTACCGTGGCCCACCCATTTGTTTTGAAGCTCCTCAACCTTCATCTTGATTTACGAGTACTTATAAAATAAAAATATGGATTATGTATTTCTAGATGGAATTCTTTGTTGTCGAGTGATGTTAGCGTGCGCTATGATGAACTTTGTAGGCAAACATAGAGATTGTTGAGGTTGAGGTTGAGGTTGATACTTGATTTAAATTATAGCAATCTATGAGTATTTTTGGATGGCATGGTCCAGAATGCAGTTGAATCCCGCAGGATTGTTACATATAATGAGGTATGGGGCGCATTCGGGGGTTAAGAAGTATCTCTTTATTGAAAAAAGGTCACACCGGTTCTGGGATTCGGTCTGTTGAATAGATGTCCTGTAAGGGTAATAATGTGAA